CGGTATGTCCGGTATTCAAAAAATTCATATCATAACAAAAATAAAAACCGGTATTCGGTACAAAACGGTATACCGCCCAGCACTAGTGGAACAGATAGAAATACTTTGAAGTATGTGTTTTTAGGGGTATAAGTTTCAAAATAACTCTTAACATGATTGCATACCTGCTGCTGCATCCTTTCAATCAGTCTTGTGATAAAAGTGGGGGGGGGTTCCTCGTAGCTGTCAGTCAGCATTACTGCGGCCCTCCTTTTCAAGAGTGTGCAAGTAAAGTTTCTGTCACTGCCTCCTTGCACAGAGATCAAGACGTGTGACAGACGAGGGTTATCTTTGCCCCACCGTCCATGTGGTGCATCACCTCACGTGACGAATACCGTAATAAATTTTCCATACTGTCACCATATTTTATTATTGCGGTATACCAATTATGCCAACTATAAATAACAGTTGAAGTTCTAATAACCTGACTGTCTTTAGTAATGATTTTGAAACATTTTAATTGTGTATAAGTTTTCAGCGATAAACACAATTCTAATCTTGTTAGCTTTCTATGGCATTTTCAATGTTGAGTTAGCATCTATGCTAATTGATTGTGCAACATGCTTCTGTAGTCATTCATTGTGAAACACTTCCTCCTCTCCCGCTTCGTCTCCTGTGATGATTATGTTAGGAGACAAATCAGACAAGCAGGAACAGCTGTGTTGTGTTATGTCACACTGTAATGCTGATTGGGAACATGTCAATAAGCACCATGAATGTACCTTATTATGGTTCTCCAGCTGGAGGAAGCCGCATGCTTCTGCACGATGAAACTTGACAGCAGCATCAGCAGAAGCTTGTACTTTTCCCTCCATGGTCTCCACTGAGACAGCTGATTATTTTGGCACCTCTTTGTCTGTCATCTTTGCTTAAGGTATGATGATGTAAGACAGGCATGCTGTCACAGTCAGTAATTATAAAGATATTAATGGGATAAAGCAAAAAAAAGTTGCATTAAAAGACAAACTGACAGATATGGTGTTTTCACTGAAAATAGTCTATATTAAAAGAATTGCAACGTTGTGAAGAAATTTAAAGTTATTAGAGGTTAGTACTGATGTTAAAAGCACAACACTATATTCTTAGGTTTTCCTTTTTGTAATGTTGACAATGTTTAATCTATTATGTTTTGATTGATATAGATTAGTTACATGTCCGAAATATCTGTGACAACACATAATCAACCGTTATGATAACAGTAGATGAGGATTTTGTCTGAATGCCTGTGATTCAGCCGTAGGTCAGTAGGGGGCAAATGCAGGCATTGAAGAAGGTGTATATATACATGAACTTCCTGGTTTTCCAGTAATGATGGCTTCCTGTCAACTTGAGTGACAATAAAACTCACTCAGATCCAGAATTCTGGTGTTGTATGGTTTGATTCCTTTTACAAATCAATTTATTTAACAATGGTGTTTTTAATATCGACTTCAGTTTATTGAATACGAATTTGCGTTGCTTTGTTCGGGTTTTTTATGTTTTTAATTTCCTCTCCGGCTATAATTCATTCCTCTCTTGTTCTCGCAGGCCCAGATTGCTCACTAACTGTACCTTCAACGGAGTCGTTCTGGGTTCTGCCCAGCGTCAAGCCTTTTGGCACTTCCCTCGCCAGAGCCTCCCACAAGGCTGTGGTGCAGGAGAAGACCATGTGGGTGGTGGGCGGATACACCTTCAACTACAGCTCATTTCAGATGATTCTTAAGTAAGTCGCATTTACATAATTTTAGACTGTGTTTACTTTGAATGCACGCTGGTTAGATCTGTGCATAAACAGAAATGTTATCAAGAAGGTTCACCTGGAAGATGTGTTGAGGGAATTAAGCTAAAATAAACTCTGAGTAAAAGTCTGAGAATGTTGGCACAAACTGTGGGGGAAACACAAAGCATTTCAACAGTTTCACACAGGCCTGTAGCAGATTGTTTAAAGATATCTGCTTGTCTCAGTTACATATTAAACCAAATCAACTCCCTTACTTTTAGATCCAGATGGAAAAGACAGGCATGTATAGAAATGTAAAGGATTTACAGATAAACTGCATTTTTTTGTATAATGTTCCATTTACATGCTACATAATAAGCTTGTAGAAAATGAAATCAGCAGACGTGTGCAGGAAACGTCTGGTTAGATGCCAAAAAAATGTTCTGAAGCTGCTTTTGATTTCTGTAATCGCGTCCAGTATGTTCTGATTTAACAGAACTTGTTTATTTCTGAATATATTTTGTATGTTTTCATTCATTATGAAGGGCTCGACACACGGGAGGCGACGTCGCTCGCTCTCCATTCATTTCCTATGGAGCCTGTGCGGTGAGGCGACAATCGCTTGCCTTCCTCCAGCTAAGCGACCGGCGAAAATAGTGCATGTGAAATTTC